GATCACATTTCTAATTTGAGGCTGTATTACGTCGATTCTGGCACCCAACATCACAACAAGATGATATTTTAAGCTTCTCGTGTAGCCGAATCTGCGCTGGTTTGAATGGACCGCCTCCAGTTTCCCCTTTGTTTTGCTGCCTCCAGCTAGCACTGTGACGTCGGCTGACCCTAGTTACCTGTGGTTGGCCTGGCCGTGCGTCACTCAGAAAACAACAGGCCAATCAGAAGAGAGGCTCATGAATATTAATTAGACAGGCCAAAATCGACCTGTTCTCAGCAGAGCTCCTGAGAGAGGAGCTGTAAAAATATATTGAGATGGTTTTTGGTACTTATACCGCAAATATATATTCTTAAGGACATCAAAACCTAAAATAAAACTCCAGAAAGGTGTAAAATATGTGACCTTTAAAACCTGCCTTTGAAAATGGGTGTTCTCACTGAAAACTATTTGCAATGGCTGTGCCATTCATTTTTAAAGTTGGCAGTATCCACCAATGTGATCTTTGCTGATGCAACAAAGTTTAGTGGACCTCAACTATAAAAATGAGCTGTGAATCCTCGTAAAAAATTAGCTGTGATCCACCACCTGATACAGTTATTAGTCAAGTAGCAACACTCACTAGCAACCAACAGCCCAGAAACTCAGTAACATCTTGTGATTTAATCACTATCAGTGTGAACTCCCCCTTTATTTTTCTTTAGCTTCAGCTTGATGAACAGAGTGAGAAGAATACTGTATTACATGTACTTAAAGGCTCAGGTATACTTCTATACTTCACATTCTACTCTGCCTCATGCACAGTTGACCATGCGAGCCTTCCACTAGTGAATCTTTCTTTTTAATCACTCAAAGACTTCTACATTGGCAGTTGTCTGCGCACAAGTCTGCACAGATGCAGGCTGTGTGCGTGGACATCCGTGGACAAAAATTGTCACAGACTGTCCACAATATGGTGCAAAATGCGGACAAGTGAAGTATACTTTGGGCTTAAGATTTGTCAGACTTTAGTTAGGAACAAAAGTTTTTAATGCATGGTGCTTAAATTTAAAATAGTCACCTGAATTTTACTTGTTTCGCATTCTCTTGGTTTGGACCTTAATGCTTTCTTTCATTTACAGTTGGAAAAACATCACGTACAGTACATTTTGCGATCATTTGGTTGGATATTTTTACCTTCAGCCACTCTTTTTTCTCTCTCTACTCTCTCCTATCCTTTCCTCTCTTAGCTTTGCTTCCCAGCCTTTACTTGTTTTGAGCAATATACTTATTTATTTATGAATTGTCAGGTTCACATTTAATTATAAAAATGACTCTGGGCTGACGGTGACTGACTGGAGGGCTGCTATGTCAGTTTCCATATTCACAAGCTGTTCCACACGTTAAAGTTGTGCTGTCTGTTTCTTGTTACTGATGTAAAAACCCTCACGCACGTGGGGCTCACCGGCTCGCTGTTGACCCTAGCACGGATCTAGGGGAGCTGCTATCCTTCTCTCCTCTTCCCTGGGTCCTAATTCCAGTCTCCTTCCTGAACAAATGTGTGCACGTGTTCAGTTATTTAGCAAGATGTTAATCAATAGTCATGGTCAGAATACAGTTGGTCAGAATTATTTTTATTTTTTTTCTCAGAAATATTTTACTTAAAGGGGTCATATGATGCGTATATTTTTCCTTTTCTTTAGTGTGTTATGTAGCTATTTGTGCATGTATAAGATCTGCAGAGTTAGAGAGCTCAAAGTCTCACACAAAAAGATTTATTCTATCTAAAAGAGAAGGCTGATCCAGATCGTGCTAAAACGCCTCATTCAAACACACCCCCACATGTCTACATCCCGATGTGGAAATATTTGTGTAATGCTGCCCAAATGTTCATGCAAAGAAAGAAGGCGTGGTTTCAGGAACCGCAGTAGTGTTGATGCAGCCATGTTAGGGAGACGCTGTGTGTTTATGTGCGAAAGCAAAAGCTCTTTATTTGGACTTCCGAAAGTAGATGCAATGAGGAATCATTGGTTAAGATTTATTTACAACAGAACAGCACAACCAAGATGTTCGAATTTGTTTAACACATTTTATGGACGACAGTTTTGTGAACCTGAGTAGCCTACAAGGCTGGCTGTGCAAAGGCTATTTAAAAAAAAAAATGGGTCAGTTCCGACTTCGCTATGACAATCTGGCGCTTATTCTGAATCAGCTACTGTAAGTATGTTTTCTTAATAGTTTAAGTATTTGCTATTGACTGTTCAAATGCGGAGTTTTGCATCGTGTAGAGTATCGCGTTGTGTGTGTGTGTGTGTGTGTGCGTAAGAGAGAGACAGAGAGAGGTCACATCACAGTGGAGTCAGCTTTCTTAATCGCGGCTTGTGTACTGCAATTACATATGAGCATCATCACTGTGTCTGTCACGTGACTGTCCCCCTTTCGGGCTTGAACTGATGGTAAAACTAAGGACATTATTTACTGTCTTTACATTTATGTTGAAAGCTGAAGCTCGCGATTATGGAAAGGGGCGTTACATTTCCGACGCGTGCTGCGTGCTTTTGGTGTTCGGCCAATCACAATGCACTGGGTCAGCTGGCCAATCAGAGCAGACTGTGCTTGTCGGAAGGAGGGGCTTTGTAGAAAACGACACATTTGAGAGTGGTAGGGCATAGAGGAACTACAATAATGTACAGTATTTGAAAAAGAATGTGTTTTTTGAACATTAAAGCATGTCAACATATTCTGTTACACCAAATACACAAAATAATGATCTTTAAAATAGCATCATATGACCCCTTTAAATGTGTGCACTTTTTTTTTTTTTTAATCACTCTTATCTTTGTGAGATCATTGTTAACCCAGATATTAGAAATTGCTATTTTGTTTTGTTTGGGTTATGCCAGAGGGTCTTACACTATTACTGTTCTTTTTCCCCTTCAGGATTTTTGACTTCCTAACTGGCAGCTTAGGGATGCTGTGCTATTTTGACACAGTGGCCTCCCTCTACCATGTAACCAGAGCTCTATCAGACACTGGCACATTTCTTGATATGGATAGACTCCCTCAGCTGCTCCTTATCTGTAGCCTTAAGGGCTAGTGGCATCAACTAGCTTAAATTTCTTTATTTTTTTTACCTCAAACTCTTGATTGGCCGTTAAAAAAAATCTCAAAGGATACTATGGCCCCTTAGAGCTCTGTTAGATTCCAGAAAAGTCTGCCCCTAAGATAGATCTGGGGCCGAATGGCCACGGATTGATTAAGAGAGAGGGAGAGAGAAAGTTAAGAGTGCTGGATACAGTCCGGTCCGGTTTGTGGAGGCCCTGCAACCCAGTGAGAGAGAGAGAACTGGGGCAGAGCCGGTTCTGCTCCCGCCTGGCGTTGCTGGGACAGGGCCGAGGGTGAAGGGGGGGCAGCTCAGCGCGTGAGCCCACATTAACCTCTTCCTCTTGGGCCGCTCCACAGGACCCAGGACTGATCCCAGCCAAGAGTAACCTAACCTAGGGTAAGTACCTGATCATGCCCTAGTCACTGCCCTGTTCATGAGAACTGTTTCCATAGTGTGGCAAATGTCCTTTAAGTATGTTTAAACGTATGTGGTAAGTGCCATGGTAGATTAGACCATTATTGTACTGTATATGTATAGCAAATTGCATTTTTATTGAGATATCTAAAATAGTATTATCTATCATTATCATTTTCTAAAAGGAGACTGTTTTCTTTTAGGGTCAATAGCAGTGTTGTTAGAGCCCCTTTTGAACCGTAATGAGAAACAGACTTTTAAGATGTTGTGTGTCCAGGAAAAAAAAAATCACATTTGTTTAACAAACTCTTGACATTTCTCATCTTTAATACCACCTCAAGTGTTGCTTGACACAATTAGTTTTGATATAAACTGAATTATATTGTTAATGTATTGACAGTTAATGTAATACTTGAGGCTAGATAAGCTGTTTATCTATGGAATAGGTAAGTAGCAAGTCCTCAAAGTCTAAAGTTTTGTCATTTATTTTATTCTGTAGTGTTTGTCTGCTTAAGGCGGTGTCTCACTAGCTGACTGAAAACATATTTTGGTCTCTTCTGTTGGGTTAGGTTGCTGTTTATTTGAATGATGGGAACAGTGTTTTCTGAAATCGGGAAACGGTTCATGTGAACTAGGGATGCTCCGATCGATCGGCCGGAGATCGGTATCGGCCGATAATCACATTTTATGACTCGATCGGTACTCACTACACTTGGCCGATCTCACGAACCGATCGCAGTTTGATGACGTCAACGCGTGACGATGTACATGATGCGTGGGGACATAAATGATTTGGCGCCACAGTCAAGTCATCGCCGGTGTGGAAATGCAATGACGTTTCGAGAAACAATGAAAAATTCGCTATTTGTCATGTATGTTTTGCATGATGATATGATGAATAGATGGTTAATTTTTAACAGCAGATTCAGTGACGTTAGAGCTTGTTACGGCTCCATGGGGACCGGAGCTGATCGCGGCCGCTCTAGTCAGTGTTTGTGTTTATGAGCCAGCCGCAGCACGTTTCTGAAGCGGCTCTCCGCGCTGCTTGGCTAAAAATAGTCTTTTGTGAGGTGTCACAGCGTGGAGGACGGAACAAAACCTCGTCGGAGCCGTAAGGTATAACGGTAACATAATACACTGGTCGTGGGCTGCTTTTAAATGAACATTTATTTATAAAACAAAATATCATAAATTAGACGGACTTACTGAAAATGCGAATTAATTCTCTGCCAGCAGGAGGTGCTTTAAAGTGGGAGAAACTTAACCTGGGAAAGGTTTCCCCAGTAACGGCTGTACACAAAGCAGCATTGAGCTCACAAACACTGCTTTATCAGGCATATAACAATCAAGATTAAATGAAAATGACAACGAAAATTTTCTAAAGATAGTCTTCCTTCAGAAATACAGTGATATAAAAACACCGCGCCTCGTTTTTATTGTTAAACGTGCAGTACGTGCTCATGTTTATTCAATGAAGCCTTTTGGAAAATCTGTCAGTTTTGATATTGTGGTGAGCGCCACAAATAAATAAATGTATGGGAAACACATCCCACAGCACAACCACCTGAGCCCAACTTCAGTCTACTCATCACCTTAACTTTAACGGCGTTTGTAGCCGGCGCCATAGCCAGACTGATAAACAAACACAGACCGGAAGTGAATTTCAGGCCAGGCGCGTGCTCCCGATGAAACCGTCTATATAAAGGTTGACGCATCAGAATCGGCATCGGTATCGGCCGATCACCATGACAAGAAATCGGTACTCAGTATCGGCTGCAAAAATCCTGATCGGAGCATCCCTAATGTGAACTTCTATACAGTTTGCTGCTGATAACCACAGTCCTAAATCGTATGGTTTGTCAAGATGTGTCAGGGATCACTTTCCTGACAACGGGGATGATAAATGTAGAAAATTAATCTTGCATTCTTTGGAACCTTTGCAATACATTTGCAGAAACAAACAACAAAAAAAATAGTGAGGGGAGTGGTTCTCCTGTGCAGTCTTTACTAAGCAGCAGAAGTAAACAGCTGCGGCTGTTGAGGAAAAAGTTTGGATCAGATCCGAGCAGGACTGTGGCTTGTCAGTTCTTCAGAAGCTCAGTGCTATGTCCACAAGCATCCCTCTTCACCACCTGAACGATAATTTCAAACTAGACTAAAGTTGACTTCAAGTCACAGCAAGGACTTAATGCTCCATCAAAGAGAGTTTCTCCATCAGAAATTGACTGAAAAATCGGCTAGTGAGACTCTCTTTAAGTTGACTTTAAGACAGACCTTTTTCTGAATGATTAATATTATAGTGATGCACCAATATTTTAGCAAACAAAAATATTTTGGGGGGCCCGAAATCATTGACCAAAACGGTGACATTTAATTAGCGCTTCTTTGATGGCACATTTTGACTGTCAGTGTCTACTATGTGCACAACATAGATAAGCTACAACATGTACACGTGAGCTGTGTGGATGCTAGGGCTAGGTTGACAATATTGATTTTTTTAGTTTTTAATCAATCTTCATTTTGATGAACCAAGATCTCTTAGTCTATGATGTTTTCATTTAATGCATTAACAAAACATTATTTGTAGTGTGCCTATTATCCAATGTTCACAATAAGCTTTGTGCTTTAAGCAAAGTCCAATAGTAGAGAGTGTGTCTTGGGGTTCTGGTGCTGTAAGGTCAAGGTGCTCTCTGGTCTAGGGTTTATAACAGTCCATCAAAGAATAGTTCAGAAGCAAAGCACAGCTTTGTGCTTTGCTACTTTTAATATGAAACAAAGACTGAGCTTTCATATTTGGTCAATTTTATAATGAAATTTATACAAGAAATGTCATATTAACTCTCTTTGGTGTGGTGTGACAGATTGCTGTAGCAATCTCAGTTCAAGTAGCAGCACAGTGTCCGTGAACCAGCCATCTCTTCCTGTTTACTGCTAGTTGTATAACAGAATAAATTTGACCATCAGGTGTTAAAAGAAACAGTACAACTCACTGACATGTATCATGTCTTATGTAATCACTCATTGAGTGTTGCAAACAAGGAAAGTAACTTACATTTACCTCAGGAAAGCCATTCAATGTCCATTGCTCGTTAGAAAAAAGAGAGAAAAACGCTAGAGAGGAGCATTTTGCTAAATATATACACTGTCTTCCTTATTCAAGCTATGTTTGAAAAGGTTTGTCATGAAGTTTTCATTAGTCAGTTTAAATGTTTATTTCAACAACAAATTGGAGTAGAAACATAATTATATCATTAAAAAGTTGATAAAACTGACTTGTGTGCAATTTGAGTGTTTATATACAATTACGTTTTTATTTGAGTCTCACATATGAAAGCATATTGCATATTCTTTGGTATTTGGCTAAATTAAAACTTAAGGTTTCGTGTTTTAGTAAAAAAATCATTTTGGTGCATCACTATTATACATTTAAGACTTGGATATTTCTGACTGCTGATGATGGCATACAAAAATACTCTTTCAAACATTTTCAAGTGTATTCATGTCATTGGATAACTTTAGAATTGAAAGCCTATTCAGAGCTCCCTAAGAGATGAGATCCCAAACCCAGATGGCTGAATAATGCCACTGTTGCTGTCGCAGTGAACTAGGCAATGGTCCATTCCTTCTGCCTACCTCACTTTCTAATTTAAATTATTTTCTTCCTCCATAATTTCTTGACCTTGGCCCCATGAAGATGTGGAGGATGTTAAATTTGTCATCAACTATGACTATCCAAACTCTTCTGAGGATTATGTTCATCGCATTGGGCGCACAGCCCGCAGCACCAACAAAGGTACAGCCTATACCTTCTTCACACCTGGTAACCTTCGGCAGGCTCGTGATCTGGTCCGGGTTCTTGAGGAGGCTAGACAGGCCATCAACCCCAAACTACTGCAGCTGGTGAACACAGGTCGTGGGGGAGGGGGAGGTGAGCATTTTAAATGAGCTGTAGTTGGGCATGCATATTTCAATTTGTATTATGTCCTTTGAGTGAAAAACTTAATTTCCAGGCTAGTCGGACACCTTTTGGAGGTAAGTTTCTTTCAAAATTTCTTATCACTAGCCTAATCCCTGGACTCTCACTGGCTACTTCCGTAGGTGGAAGGATGCGTTATCGTGGCAGCAACTCAACCTCAAATAACCCCAACCTGATGTACCAGGATGAATGTGATCGCCACATGCGCTCTGTAACCGGAAGTAACAAAGGCAGCCGCAGCAACAACTTGAGCCGTGATGGAAGGTCAGGTGGGAGCAGCCGTGACGACCGTATGTCCTCTTCTTCTTACAGAGACCGCAGCAGGGATGGACGAAACAACTACAACTCGGGACCCTCCTACAACAGTGGAGGAGGTGACCAATTCCAGAGCTGTGGGGGCGGAGGAGGGGGGCAGTATGGCTCCAGAGGGGGAGGCTCACATCCAGGTGGGGGTGCAGGAGGGCAAGATCAGGCTGGACCTCCCCAAGGTCTGTTTGGAGCACCTCCACCAACTCCTCAGCCTGGGCCAGGTCCGCAACCACTCATGGCACAGCAGTTCCCTCCTCCACCACAGCCTATCATGGGGTTCATGGGTTCTGGGCCATACCCATTTGCCTCACCACCACCACCCCTTCCTCCCCCTCCTAGAAAGTAGCATCCAGAAAAACGCATTTTAAACCCCAGAGAAAAAGAATAACTTTATTTCCCTTAAATACATATTTGCACTACATTCACTTCTCTGTATGTTTAGTCTCTGTATTAGTTTTTGGCAAATGTACATAATAGCAATACCAATATTATTTACACTTCATCAGGTTGGATAGACATTAATGATCTGGAATGGAACGGACTTCATCACAGACCTTTAAATGTAAGGAGTGACACAAACTAGAATTGTTTAATTTGGGAACAGTGATTTCAATTCCTGTCTACAGAGAATTCATATGCAGCAGCATCCTGATTCCAATATAACGGAAGAACCGTTATTTAAATTACCTGTGTTATCTTGAGTACACAATTCTTCAATTATCTCTTACGGGAATGGTAAGGGTGAAATTATTCATTAAACTACTGCATTGAGAGAGCCCAGATTAGATGTGGAACCATCAGGGATTTACAAAAACAAAAGACAATCTCAACCAAAAAGGGCAAATGCTTCTGTTACACAGCCAATTTAAAAAAAAAAGCATCAACACAAAATGTCTATATTCACATTAGCATGAAAAAAAAAATCTGATTAGGCACGTACGGTACAAGACATCAGCGTGAAGTTCAAGAGCAGTACAGTGCACATTGGGGCTATTTTAGGGCAATCGTAAATTAAGAAGAAAAAATTACATTGAATGACATGGGGCTATGTGATTTGTAATATATAGAGCATTTGAATTTAAAGTATTTCTTGCAAATAAATTGATTTTTTAGTTGCCATTAAAACCACATGCAGCCTGACAATACAATCACACACACACAAAAAGATCAAGAATGTGTGCAAGTGAACAAAACCTATTAATCAACACAATGAAAATGAAACAATTAGTGCAGAAAATTAACCTGCTATATGCCATTACAGCTGACAGACTCCCATTATCTCAATTCACACATGGAAATAATGTCCTAAATGACCACAAAACTCTTAACTTTCAAACATTTAAAGCTTCATACAAAAAGGGCCTGACATACCAGAAAACAAAATAAAGCTGAAAGAAAGAAAGAACAACTGGAATTAAAAATAACATGAGTTCATTTAAAGGCCTCATTCAGACATTAAGGAGAGGACAGAAGGATATGGACCAAAGGCAGAGTCATTGACATAGTCTGGATATGAACTGCCATAAGGAAGTAGAGGGGCCACTAGCAGGAAATCAGTCTGTTCTTTTAAAGGTTTCCCCAGGACTCTGGTGGAGGGAACTGCTCTACATCTCCGCTCTCATCATGTGATTCTTGTCCTAAATCAAATGTCAGTTTGTATCTCAACCGCACCTTCTCCTTCAAAAAGAAAGAAAACTTGTATGAAATTATGAACTTGAAGAAATGCAATGTAATCAGATATTTGCAAATCAGCAACATAGACAGCCACACGTGTATGACATAAGCTACAAACCATAACCCTCAGAGTTGGTAAGCTTTCCTGACAAATTATACCCAATTTTTTTGCATAGGGCTGCAACAGTACACAAAATTCATGTTTCAGTACATACCTCAATATTGGAGTCAGTTTGGTAAGTAGAGAGAAAAATAATCTGTCTCGAAATTATTAATCATGTAAAAACAATGGCAGTTATAAGTCTTCCTTTCACTGCCAAATGTCAGGTTTCAGATATAAATTTTTATTTAAAATTTTCATTTTACGGGTTTTTTTTTTTTTTTCAGACAACAAATTGTGAGTGTGTCTACATAGAAACTGTGAATAATAATTAATTTGATAACATAAAATGACTTCAGCAGTGATTTTTCATACAGTACCTTATAAATAAGCGCAGTTGTAGGGGGGATCTTATTTCCAGTATATTTGGTCTTGTTAGTTCTTGCTCCAAAATGTTTTTTTTTCTCTCCATTTGGTGCACTCTGTCATTTTAAGTACCGTACTGATAGCCCTATATCTGCATCCAATATATATGTACCACTGCAGCCCAACTACTACATAATATTCTCCGAATACATCTGTTTATTTACCTTGTGAGGGTTGGCTAAAAGCAGGACCTGTGTAATGGCGGCAGGGGGCAATAAAGGATTGAAGGCAGGTAAATCTGATCCCGATGGTGGCTGCAGCTTTACTCTCATAGTCTGCACATACATACAAGCATACAGCTTCAATACAGAATTCTAGAGAGATTGACTAGAGATGGATGATAAATAGAGCTACCTTAGGAACAGCCGCCTGGAATTGTACATTTGTGATGGGCACAGGGGCAGATGACAACATGGAGATTATCACCACTAAAACATCTGGCCGTGCTGGTGGAGAGTCTCTTGCAAAATGGAACAGAATTCGAAGGCTGTGTTTATCAAAGATTGTCACAGGTAACAAGCTACCTGTTGCAGATAGGAAACAACAACTGGGTCAACACATCCTTACATTAAAACAACAAAAACAGCATTCACAATGTCACCACAATTTTCAGAGTATAGACAACTAAACATTTATTCACTCATGTAAATCCAAACCATTTAATTTTCTTTCTTCCATGGAACACATCTTTAAAAACCGTACTAGTCACTCTTTTTCATACAATTAGTCCCCATGCAGACTGAGGCCTTCAGGCGTCAAAAAGAACATAAAGGCACCATAAAAGAGGTCCATATGATTGTTTGCCATCTTTCAAGTCTTCAAAAGTAATATGATAGCTTTCTGAGGAAAAGACTGAAATGTAAACTCTTTTGATAACGGGCGTAAATTTCGTCTAACAGTTGGGGGGGGGGG